AAGAGGGGGACAGAGGCCGGCCCTGGGCAGCGGATGGAGAGGGACACCAGCCCAGTATTGGTTACAGCCGTGCTGGCACACCCGAGCCAAGAGCTCTTCCACTGGGCATCTTCCTGGGTGAGACCGCTGGGGTATCCCCAAAGGGCGGTCCACCTCTGGGCTCCTGGACCCACGGGCCTTCGGGAAACGGACACACGGGTTGGACACACGGGTTCGTTCTCCTTTTCCTCCCTGTGGCTGTCCACGCATCCTCCAGCTGCAGCTCCTGGAAAGCTGCCCAGGGTGGCCACCAAGGTTGTCTTGCCCTGGGGCTGACGCCTGCCAGAAGGACCCTTCCTCCTGTGGGTGGGGGGGACTGTCTGAGGCCGTCAGAGCGAGGGGAGGTGCCGTGTGGGCACCGCTGCTATTTCTAACCTGCCGAGTGAAGGGAACTTTGACTGAAAAGCAGGCTGATTGTCAGGGGCGGGACGGAACTCAGAGCTGTCAGGGCCGTCACATGGAGAGAGCGTGGCAGGGGGCGGCGACAGGGGGCTTGGGCTGACAGGGCTGTGATTTTGAAAGAAATTGTCTTTAAGAAATTGATTTCAAGTAGGAGAGAAATATTATTATTAGATAATGGCTGTCAGGTTATTTTTTGATGTGTTCTCTGGGGATTTCATAATCCTCTCCCCCTTAGATGGTAAACCCTTCCTGGCCAGGGGCCATGCCCTCATGCCTTTGTGGGTTTCACCCCAGCACTGGGCAAGCGGCAGACGTCAGGAGATATTTGCTGTGTGGCCAGTGGTCACTTTGGGGGGAGGTTTTTATCAATAATCTTCTAACTTTTGTTAATAAACCACAAATTTGGGTGAGCAGTAGACCTTTGGCCCATGCCCCATCTGGCCCAGTTCCATGCCTGGAGCTGCCCCTCTGCCCCCAGTGGCAGCAACAGCAGGACGGGGTAGTGAGGACCACCCACCCAAGGCTCAGCATTCTCAGAGACAAATGACCACCGGGCCGTCCATGAACTCCTCACTTAGAGGCCTCTCCCACCAGCCTGAGGCTCATTGCCACGGCCTGGCCCCTCCCGTGGACTCAGCAGAGCCCTGATTCTAGTTCAGAAACATCTTTGGAATCTAGGCCCTCCTCTGAGTGCTGGCCGCTGGGATTTTAGTCCCTGCCCTGATCTCGGCAAACGCCAACCTCCTAACTGCTCACTCTGCCCCCGCTTCCCGACCTGGGCCAGGCCTAACTGTGCCCCGTCCCTTGTAGGTCACCCCTGGCTACAAAGTCCAGATTCCGTGTAGTGTCCATTCAGGCCAGACCCTTGTACTTCCCGGCCACCTGCCCTCTCCATCTTTACATGATAAATCACTACGGAGAGTGGACGGTGTTTTGTTCTTTTGTTTGTATTTCCCTCCCCATAGGGCATGTGCACTCGCTGGAGAGAAACAGAGAGATTGGGAGAAAGTGAGAAATCACCCCCCCCCAAGGGGGATGGTCACACCACAATTCCCTTCTCCTCCATTCTCCTCCCAGGATTTTGGGCATGGACACACACATGTCTGGTGTGATTTTTTTTTTTTTTTCAAGCTATCAGCTTGGGAGTTGAACTACGGTCAGCCATGTGGGAGTTCAACGCCTTAGCCAACACGCCACTTGCAGGTCCTGAGAGGGAGGGTTTTTTCAGTGCTCCACACCAGGTTAAAAGCAACTTGCCTCTTCTTTCCTGCCCATTTAGGAAGCTCGATCTGCCCAGCAGAGCTTTCAAAGCTGCCTCCGAAGGAGACTTCGAGCTGCAGGGATATGGCTTTGTAGC